GGTCGTCCTTTGACATCTTCCACCCATCTTTAATTCACCATAAAGGATGTTCTTATGGACTCTTGCCATCCTAAATTCTCCAGGTGTGACCCAGCCACTTGAGCCTTCGTAGACTGAGCATTGAGAAGACTGTTGTAGTACCTGCTCTTTCCAGTACCTCAATGTTTGTGATTTTGTCCTGCAACTTAATGCCAAGTATTCTTCTTAGGCATCACATGTGAAAGCTATTTAGCCGTCTCTCCTGGTGCGAATAAGTTGAGCAAGTTTCACTGCCAAAAAGCAGAACGCTGAGACACAAGTCTGATAAACAAGAGTTTTTGTTTTAATTGTAAGCTTTCTGTTCTCCCAAACTCTTTTTGTCAATCTACTCATTGTTGTTGCTGCCTTACCTATCCTAATGTTGATTTCTTGGTCCAGCGATATCAACAATGGTGGAAATCCAATTCCAGAAAAAGAATGATTCTTCTCTCAGTCTAAGGGTTATTATTTTTCAAGTTTTGTGTCGTTGGTAAATATTGTTATAATTCTCTGAAACTCCGCCCTAAGAAACTAGAGAAAGAGAATAAGAAGTAGAAGAAATGTGGAGTCTTGGTCATCCAGGGAGTTGAAAGCTGTGACCACTGCGGGGAAAAAAGAAAGGTTATTCTCCCAAATCACTATAAAAATGTATTTTTTATTTAGAGTCATGCGACTAGGGGTGTTTTCTTCGAAGTCAGAGTGCATCTGCCTGAGAGACAAGAAAGCAGAAGTCTGCATACAAAATAGCCAGATCTGTAAGATGAAAGTGCATGCAAACGTCAAGTTCTAGAACAAGCCTAAGGTCCAGAAGTGGGAGAACAAACAGAACTTTCATCCGGAGTTTACAGCTGGTGCTCTAAGAAGAAGAAGAAATCTGAATAGAAATGTAGCAAACAAACAGCTGCTTCCTTTTCACCAAGAAAACATGGGGTTGTTGATAGCCTCGGAGAGCAAAATGACGTCATCATAAGTTTATTATGAAGTCACAATGACATAAATAAATATTTGTTCACCCCTAATAATGACGGGGGGGGGGGGGGGAAATAACCATACCCATCAGGTATGCACACTGTGCAGATGCAACCAGCACCAAAGCTATTATCTGGGCACGACCGGGTCCAGCTGACAGTTGGAGCAGGTCGTGATCTGGGTGTAATGGCCATTGCCCAAATACTTCCTGTCATCAGAAACTCATACAGTTTGGAAAACTAACTTCCTAAAGGCAACAGGGTTAAAACAGGCTTAAAAGCAGATTGCACAAGACCGGAAGCAAATGACAGGAGTAAGAAGAACTCAACAGGGAAGCATGCACAGCAGGAGTCCACTGATTATCGGTAGAAAGGTCCATCGTCAGCGATTGTTTTGGCCCAATAACTTTCTAGACAATCGCCGAAGGTGAGGCGACCTGGTTAATGACTCCAAGCCTCGATCTTCCCGTGCTGCACTTTATCGGACGTTCAGAAAGAAAAGGAAAAGTAAAGGACCCTTTTCACGCATTTAGGCATATAGGGATAGACATATATTTTATAGACCAATCGGCACAAGATGGGTGATGTGGTCAGCATCACGCCGGGTTCGGACAGGGACAAGACGAATTGGTGACTTTGCAACTGAGATTTGGTGTTATATATATTGTAACTGCGGTAGCAAATTATGCGACTACCTTCACGACCAGATTAATAAAGCTTATGGTTAGTTCATCGGACAGACATTAAACTTTGACAAATGGCAGGGAGACACTGGCAGACGTTTTTATCGGACACTTTGGCTTTAAAGGGATGTAATGTTATTTTCCACTAGGGACTCGGCTTAGTCTACCGAGGCCCAATCCCCCACCCCCTTCCCGACGTTCCATTGTGTCCAAAGCCAGCTCAAAGCCCTTTCCGCTGCTACACTCAGCTGTTTTAGTTAACGTTTTCTTTCATTTCATCGTAAGCCTAGATGCTTTAGTACATTGTGGAAGTGGAGATAAGTCCTCCTGTGCCTATCTCGTCGGCAAGGATTGTTACTGTATACGCCTCATCTATCCTCAGACCGGCCACCAGTTCAACGTATTTTTCCAGCTGGGGCCGCGTTAGCGCAGTCGATAAGAGGTTCGCTTTCAAATCCAGCTGCAGCCCACGGTCGGTGTTCGAAACCGGGCTGTTTCCGGGGTTCACCTAGCCTCTAGAAAATGGGTACCAGTGTTGACACTCTGGGGTAAATAGAGCAACGTCGCTGTAGCTACAGAATTACGTGCGAACGGCAACACAGACGGACAATTCTTATCAGCTTTCCGTACTAGTGGCAGAGCACTTATGGATTATAACCGTATGCAATGACGCTGGTTCACATCTCCCGACTTTAACTTTTTGTACTTGTTCAACTTGTAGAGGTGATATTCTTCCACCCATGACTCATGGTCAGCTCTACCAGTATGAGCCGCATTTGTCTGCAGAGTGCAGGACCATGTCTAGTCTCAAGTGGGTCTTTGGGATTGAGTCTGGATACTTTTTTTTTAAACAAGACAGTTCGACCGCAAGTAACCAGTACCTCGCTCAGTCAAGTATTTATGGAGCTTATGCGACCTTGTTGACTTTACCTTTAGAGATCTGCCGAGCTTAACTCTTTATTGTGGCACCATGTATTTATATCGTCCCTGGCCTAGGGCTTTCCTGCACACGAGCAATACTTGCTTGGGCGTCTGCTTAGCTCTGCATTGGGGACATGACGGGTCTGTGGTCGCATGCCATTTGACCATGATGGCACCAGACGGTAACACATCATAAGCAGATCTTATGACAAAGCTCAGTCGCAGCGGAGCCATTCGCCAGATCTCACCCCGTGTGAATATTCGTGACAAAGTGCTCCCGAGACCGATACTGTGGCCTTGCTGCGACTGCTGTACTGCTTTTTGGACCCGAATCTCGTTTTCACAGAGGATTTTGCGAAACGCTGGGTGATGTATCAGATGGAGCCACTGTTTATATCTGTACCTCGCCTTGATCTTCTATAACACGTTCATTGAGTCGCTGAGCAAACATGCATTGGTGAACTCCTGAGTTCGGCTATTATCATGCTTCTTGTGTTAGAAGAAAGGGTCGACTGTTTTCTGTAATGACTTCCCTGTGGTTCTTGCCATGAAAGCCATGCGCTTCGCTTCTGACGAATCACAGAACCATCATATAACAGCATCTTCCGGTTATTTGTGTTCCTTCACTAATGCTTTCATTTCTGCATAAACTATTGGTGGCGCCAAGTAACGGCACTGTCTGTCAAGGGTGTTCATGGTGTAGTAAGTGTGTAAAGACCTCAGTGATTTTGAGGGTTTCATACAGGAGTGTTTCTAGTCTCCGGTTACTGTCCGTTGCTCTTGTTCTTGCTGTCATAATCTTTAGGGCTCCGAGTCCCTTTTAACATTGTGTTGCAAATACCTTCACATGTCCCGGAGTAGGGGGAAAAAAAAGGGGGGGGGGAGGACTTCTATCAAAGGTAGCTCCCAGTTATCTTACTCTCATTTCTCTACTGGCATTGCTACCATTATATGTTGTGCTTGGGCCACCAATTCTAACAATAATGTTGTCCAGAAAGCGCCATAACATGATGCATTTTCTTGGTTAATGACAACACTTATCTTTTTTGTATCGATTAATCCCCTTATGTACTTTCACCTGTAAAAAACAGTATCCTTCCATCCCCTGTTGCTTCAAAACGTGGAATTTTGATCGTACATGCATTGAAAAGTATGAGTGAGATTGTGACTTTTTGTTGTAGTCTGTTGACTATAATATAGGATTCTGGAATTCACACCCCGATAACGGCAATCCTATTACAACACAGTACCACCTAATAGGATTGCCGTTATCGGGGTGTGAATTCCAGAATCCTATTATATATATATATATATATATATATATATATATATATATATATATATATATATATATATATGTGTGTGTGTGTGTGTGTGTGTGTGTGTGTGTGTGTGTGTTAATAGCAAGAAAGCTCATCATGGCTATCAAAAATTTGATGTCAAACTGTTTCTGAGCATGTAAGCCACTCGTTGATACACTACATTTTAGTTTCTACTGTGTTCTTCTTCTTCTTATGCTAAACATTGAATCCAGTCTGGGTCACAAATAGGATTGTGCGTTTAAGGTCGCCACCGGTCTCCCATAGCTTCTCTTGCAATGTGGCAATGTTGCAAAGTGTTTACAGTGATTTTTTCCGAAATTATGAAGTATAAGACTGAAACCAGCCAAACAGTTCAATTAAAACGGCAGCCTGAAAAAAATGCCTGGTACTAGTTAGCATTGAAAGCCAGATTGAAACAAATATAATAAGTACATAGACGATTTAGAGAAATTTAGGCCAGCATAGCTCCTTAGAGCACACAATGCTTACACATCCCCTAACCCACGAAGTCACTAGGGTAGATTATGAGGTGGATGAGGCAGAAAAATAAGACGACTGGGGAGGGAGGAAAAGAATAAGAATTTAACAAAAAGAAAGAAGAGAAGCAGAAAGGGACGAAGAGGAAGAGGATGAATACGATAACAAAAGGAAGAAGGCCAAAGAGGAGGTGGAGACGAAGAAGAAGATAACTCTTGAGTCGACCCAACCTTAGCATTTAATTCCCAATAATTTTCTAGAAGTAGTTGTCAGGGAAGTCAATGAGCAGACTACCCTACCCTATTCTACTGTGACCCGGTAGATGTGAAGGCCTAAGACTTCACACCCCTAGAAACTAACTTACCTTTACCTTTACCTTGAAACCACCAAGGGCCAACAACCACCTGGTTCCTCAGTTATTGCTACTAGGGGCGCCCAGGTTGCCTTGACCCAGTTTCGCGCGACGTCATAGATAAATAAAGCAGTCAAACATCAACAAACAGAGCACCCAGAGAGTGAACAGTCTGTGGCACAGTCGTGCTTTCTCTCACCAATTCTCTTCAGTGGTAGAAGGCACAGCTTCTCTTTCAGCTACATTTTATAACAGTTTAATGGCTTCAGCAATTATAAACGAGAAGTCGGACGATCTAAAAAGTGTTGGTATGTATGTATGATGTGTCTGTTTTATTAAACTATAAAATTAAAAGTATTATTTATTTTGTCAACAATTGATTTAATTTTTATTGATGATGATGTTTTCTTTGTAATTAGTTTAGTATAGTATAAATATAGACTAAGTAATACTTGTGCAGTACAACCTGCAATATTCAATGATGAAATCCCATATCAACAACTATACAGTAGTTTATAATTAATATAGTGACACGCACTAGCTTCTCTCTCTATGGGCTACCTCATATCAGTTCCTAAAACTGGGGAATAATGACAAATGAAACAATTTGGGCAACCTTGATGCTATTTAAATAAAATGAGAAATACATTCTAAATTATTATTGTTCATTGATACTATAAACGCAAGACTTAAATTCAAAATACTTAAGATTTAATCCTTTCACTCAAGTGATAAGCAGCACATATTGTATGTAAACATCATTAATAAAGAACATGGGCACTCTTCCGAATACCGGCCCCATATTATTCAAAGACAAAAAATCCCATTCAGGGCCTCAAGAGGTCGTTGTTAGGGACTTGAGAGGTCATGTAGTTAAAAATATAGAGCAGGAACACTACAAACTATGCTTTCTTTTATTATATAATTTCATTTGAACGAAATTATCGAGTCTTCGCTAGTATAGTTGATAAGCAGTCTGCTTGTTACGCCGGTGATCTGGGTTCGATTCTCCGGCGGGCAAAAACATTTTTCTTTTTTTTCTTCAAAAGGGTGGTTTGCACGTTGTGTTGTGGTTAACAACTAGGCTGCGATATCTGCGCCTTTACTCGGTCTTGTGGTTAACAGCTAGGTTGCGATAGCGGCGGCAAATTTTTTTTTTACTACTAGGCTGCGATATTTGCGCCCTTCGCTCGGTCTTGTGATTAACAGCTAGGCTGCGATTGCGCCTTTCGCTCGGTCTTGTAGTTAACAGCTAAGCTGCGATAGCGCGCCTTTACTCAGTCTTGTGGTTAACAGCTAGGTTGCGATAGCGACGGCAAATTTTTTTTTAAAACTTTTAAAAGGGTGGTTTAGACGTTGTTTTGTAGTTACAACTAGGCTAGGATATCTGCTTCACTACAGCTACGATATCTGCTTCGCTAGTACAGTTGATAAGCAGTCTGCTTGTTACGCCGGTGGTCGGGCTTTTCTTTAAAAGGGTGGTTTGCACGTTGTGTTGTGGTTACAATTAGGCTGCGATATTTGCGCCCTTCGCTCGGTCTTGTGGTTAACAGCTAGGCTGCGATAGCAGGCGCGAAGTGCTAAATGGTCATGTCACGGGCAGCTAATCTCTTTTTTTTTTTTGTTCGCCCTTGAAATGGCGGTTGGCATAGTGTATTGAGGTTTACAAATACGCTGCTATATCTGCACCTTTCGTGCTAGGTTGCGATATCTGCGCCTTTCGCCCCATCACATCTGATTTCAGCAGTCCTAATTAGTTGCCTTTTACAACATTTTTTTCAGGTGGCAGTGGATCAATTCTTTTTTTTTTCCTCCTTGGAACCCACAAAAAATGTCTTGTGTGTGACTTGTTGCTACTTGGAAGGGCATCAATACGTGGTTATTATTGTTACCGAAGTCGATTATTGGTTGGTTGTAATAGTCCCTGGTTAAACAGATACAGCCTAATAAAGACTCGTGAAATATATTGAGCTGACTGAGTATCCTCGGGAGAAGGGAAAAGGCGTTTATCGATATAGATATACTTTTGGTAAGATGATAAAAGATGAAGACTGCAGGTTACTTGTATATTGCTTAACTAATGTTTGCACCTACTTTCACTGTTTACATGCAGCAGTTCAAATATTTCCATTTTTGAAATTTTTATTTTCGAAAAATGGTTAGATTTTCTCTTTTGGCACAGTATGAAAGTATAATAGAATCAATCAGGTCACAGGCATCCGTAAATGTTCTACACTGTTGTCTAAGTTCCGCCCTTGTGATTACGAGTATGTTGTAACATCACTAGACATCACTAGGTAGATTACGTGTATCACATTAATGTGCGAAATTCGCTTGCTTAGACAACTGGACCCGCTATCTTGTTTGAACTCTGGACATCAAAGTTGTCGGCTGGTCTGAGAATGCCCGCTACGTCTCAACTCTAACCCGTGGTAATTAGCCACCTGCCTGTCGGCAAGTTCAGATGGTCGTCTTCTGTCCGTTCGACTGGAAGATTGCATAATTCTTCAACGTAGATGCGTTCCCTGGTCCAGCTGTTAAGCTAACGTTAAATTCCACTGAGATAAATTGTTGGTTGGTCAGACACTTTGATCGCTGCTAGGAAGATCGCTTGGGTTTGCTGTTCAGTTACCTCATTGTTTCACTTTGTAAAGGTTTCTGTTGGACTTGTGTACTTTTTTTGTTGTTGCGTTTAGAAGGAATTCTGTACTCACCGAATGCACCTCGTCACAGTCTCTTTGCGAATTTGTGCACTTGCGTAGATAATTAATTGCTTATCGGCAAAAGTTGCGAATAAAGTGGAAATATTTCTTTTGATAATTTGTGCAGCTACTTTTAATTATGGCAGGCAGACCATCGGCTCCAAAACAGATAAGCAATAATATTCTACAAGTTGATCAACTGGCAGCTGTAGATGTCAGACCTGATGATTTATATAGAATAATGAACGATAAACTACAGTGGTTGCAATGGCTTGCTATGCACAGAATAATACGGAACTCAGTAGACTGTTCGTCTTGCAACCGTCGGATGTCATTAGTGTCAAGGCTAGAATGTTCCGATAGATTCTCTTGGCGATGTCGTCGCTGTAATACTCGTTGCAGTGTACGGACGGGTTCGTTCTTCGCTAATTGTGAACTCCCAACTGAAAGAATTGTGATGGTAATGTTTTACTGGTTGTTCGAAGTCAAGCAAAAAAATTTGATGTTTTTTGAGAGATTGACAAGCTGTGATACTATAGTCAACTATAACAATTATTTTCGGGTAGAGTGTTACAACTGGCTGCTGCTTAGCAACCCTCAGTTGGGAGGATTTGATGCTAACGGACAGTCAGTGGTTGTTTAAGTTGACGAGAGCTATTTTTTCCACCGCAAGTACCATCGTGGTTACTTTCGTCGTGGTCAATGGGTAGTTGGGCTAGTTGAACGTGGTAGTGGTCGTTGCTGGTTGGAAGTTGTTAATAGGCGAGATGCGACAACATTGGAACGCATCATAAATGAGCATGTGTTACCAGGAACAACAATTGTCACCGATGCCTGGCGAGGCTACAACAACGTTGGTCAACTCAACAATGGCATCATATATGAACATCTCGTTGTTGTTCATGCTATTAATTTTGTTGACCATGTACACGGAGACATCCACACCCAAACAATTGAAGGGCTGTGGATGCAAGTCAAAAGGAAACAGCCTTTCCAAGGCGATGTGCATTGTTTAATACATATTTAGCCGAATTTCAGTGGCGTCGCAGTCACAAAGAACATGTTTTTGGACAGTATTTACAACTGTTGTGCCACAATTTCGACATATAACTGTCAAATATTATTGGCGGAGTTGCCACTTTTCTTTGACGGAAAGTGTATTGTATTTTTTTTCTGCATTTCCTTCTTTTCGTCTGTCATTTCATTTTCTCAATGACCACACTAGCAGGTGGTACACACTTCATTGATACTGAACATCCTCTTGTGTTTAGATAAGTTGTAGCCAAGTATATCTTCTCTGCTATGTCGTTTCTACTACACATCTTGGTATTTTTAAATCCATCAAAGTAGATATGATATTGTTGCAGGTATAACGCAGCGCTCTCTTCAATATACATCAAATGCATTAGATATTTAGAGAAACAGGCCGACAGTTTTTTTTCCTTCTGTAATCCTGATTTGGCTTCTTGTAATTTAATAATCTGATTGAATATACTTTGTGTATTATATATATATATATATATATATATATATATATATATATTGTGTGTATCTTATTTATCTTTCTTATAAAAATTCCACTGTGTGGAGGGAGAAAAGGAGCAGGGGGGGGGGGGGGGGGGGGGGGGGACACACAGCGACTCAGTTATTATTTCACGGTGCTTAACGGCAGCAGTAAAAATTGATGATGATGATCTTAATGTTGCTACACTGATGATGATAATCTTAACGTTGCTACACTGATGATGATGATCTCAACGTTGCTACTCATCGACACAGCGCTCCGATGGATCGAAAATTATTCCTTCCCATGTCACTTCAGCGCTCCGATGGAACGAAAATTAATCCTCCCCACGTCACTTCAGTCGATCGAAAACTATTTCTCCCCACGGCGCTTTACTTTAAACATTGCGCAGAAGTAAAAACTGATGATGATGGCTTCAATTATTATTTCACGGCGCTTAACGGCAGAAGTGAAGACTGATGATGATGATCTTAACGTTGCTACCCATCGACACAGCGCTCCGATGGATCGAAAATTATTCCTTCCCACGCAAAAATCAGGTCCAGGTGAAAGCCAAAAGTCCAAGCGGACGAATAACCGGGACCTTCCACTGGAATTCACAGCCGGTGATCGATAAAAAAAAAAAAAATTCCTTCCCACGTCACTTCAGCGCTCCGATGGATCGAAAATTAATTCTCCCCACGTCACTTCAGTCGATCGAAAACTATTTCTCCCCACGGCGCTTAACACAACGCTTAACGCGCAGATGTGGAAACTGATGATGATGGCCTCAATTATTTCACGCATTATTGGTACGTATTGTTCCATATTTTGTTGTTCCTGGCTTCAATTATTATTTCACGGCGCTTAACGGCAGAAGTGAAGACTGATGATGATGATCTTAACGTTGCTACCCATCGACACAGCGCTCCGATGGATCGAAAATTATTCCTCCCCACGTCACTTCAGTCGATCGAAAACTATTTCTCACAACGCTTAACGCGCAGATGTGGAAACTGATGATGATGGCCTCAATTATTTCACGGCATTATTGGTACGTATTGTACCATATTTTGTATAACCTCTTTATAGCCCCTTGACCTCTTTGTAACCTCTTGAACCCCTTGAGGCTCTAAAAGGAATGTTTTGGACAGTAAATAATATGGGGCCGGTATTCGGAAGAGTGCCGAACATGTACACATAAAACAAATTCAATTTAAGCTCATTTTATTTGCAATAAAGATGTCTTACTTATTTTAGCTATTTTATTTTCCAAATTAAAATAGAGATGCCGTACTTCATTCCTATTAATGTTTCACTGCCCATCCACACACTTTCTCAGTCTGGTCTAGGTCAAGGAGGTGTCACATTTTACTGTTTTCTTCTAAAATATTCTCTCGTCAGACCAAGGTTCATGCTGTTGGTAGTGGGGTTTGGGTTAGAGCCAATTCTAAATGTTCTATAGTAATTCAAAGCTGTGTTTTGTTATAGTATAGAACATGCGACATCAACGCTTATGTAATTGACGGCAAGACAATGTGACACCTTGTGTAGATGGGCCGGAAATAGGATGCACTTCTTCTTCTTCTTCCTCCTCCTGTTCACTGACTGTAAAATCCAGCAGAATTACCTGGTTTTGTGTCCACTTCTCGAGTTGGTATTGTTTCACAACTTGAGTGTTACATGCACTTGTATTTTACAGATCTGGCATATTGTATTCAGATTTCCACATGTGGGTTCCGGGGCCCTGTTATAGGGGAAACAAGAATAGACCCACTGCCTACCAAAAAGCATGTTGTAAGAGTCGACTAATTGGAAGCTTCCTTCAAAGTCGGAGTGCATCTGCCTGAGAGACAAGAAACCAGCAGTCTGCATACAAATGAGACAGATCTGTAAAATGGATGCACTCGCAACACTCAGGTTTTGGAACAGGACTGCTGTCCAAAAGTGAATAAACAACAGAACTTTCCACCAGAGTTTGCAACTGATGAACACAAAGAAGAAGTATTCAGATTTGCATTTCCTTGCCTCTCAGGCAGATGCATTTCAACTTCAAAGAAAACAGTGTTCCTATCCACATTGACCTGGCTTCTACTAGGAAACTTATTTCTAGGATGACCACAGCGAGGTGTAGATAGGCTAGGTGTTGAACAGTTGGTGCCATGATCCTAATGCACTTACCTGTGAGGTTCTCTATCCCAGATACTGTACAATAGCAGATTAACTGCCACACTTTGGGTGTGAAGTGTTGGCCTTCGTGAATTATAGACCGAAGCTAATTGAGATGGAATGGTTGGTTCCCTTCCTGCCTTTCCTTCCGAGACAAATCTGAAAATTACCCAGCTTTCAGAGCCAACTTGTAGATGAAACATAAAGTATTCACTGCTGAAGGCCACCTTTGGTAAGGTGGAATTTGGTACTTAGTACATTGTGACGTTGGGGAAGTTGGAGTGGAAAAGATGTAGAGGGAGACCAAGAGAGACGATCATAGACAGTTTGGTATCATAGCATGGAAGGTCATATGTGCCAGAATTTATTGAAAGTACAAGGGACAGAAGGTTGTTGATAGACATGACTATCAACACAACATGGCATGGACTATAAGAAGACGAAAATACGGGTTTAAAAAAACACAAATACTACAGCCTAACTGATTCTGTTTGAATTGTTTGTTCATTGTGAACATAGTTATTTACCTGTCCTGACTTCCCTATTTGACTTCTGTTTAGGATGGTGCAGGGCTCTTGTGGGAGGGGGTGGTGGTGAGGTACTTGAGCTAAAGAGTTTAGTGCTGAGGCCACAAACTGGACAATAGGATTGTGTTTTTGTCCACTAGCAAAAAACATTGCATCATCTTAGTGAGGATTTGAACCTGTGTCTCCTAAAAGAGAGTCAAACATTTTAACTACTCATTTATTTACCAGAATTGATCAATCAACAGCCACACACATTTGCATATTATACTTAGGATTTAGTAAACTGTGCAATGTTGACAACATCACCATTGAGTGCCAGTTGGTCTATAAAAATGTAAAGTGGAAAGTGTGCAAAATGTCATTTATTTTACTTCCTTTACTTAGGATTATTTTCAGAAATTTTTTCTTGCTTAAAAGCCCCCAATAATTTGGAAATCTGAAACAACATTTCCCATTTCTTCTTCTTCTTCTTTGCGTTCACCAGCTGTACACTCTGGCGGAAAGTTCTGGTTGATCGTCCACTACTGAACTGCAGTCCTGCTCCAGAACCTGAGTGTTGCGTGTGCATCAGTTTTACTGATCTCATTCTCTTGAAAACAGACTGTTGGTTCCTTGCCTCTCCGGCAGATGCACTCCGACTTCAAAGGAAAATTTCCCATTTATTAAGGCTGTTGATGAAATGTTTCATTTTATTGTGATTAGCAAGCTGTTCATTTAGGTCTTTAAGTGTTTTTGCTTCTAGCTACTGTTTGCTGCATATTTTTCCACATAAGGACTTTAGTCCATGTTTTTTTTGTGTGTGTGCCTAAGCCACTGATTTAAGGGCTTGATGCACAACATTGGGAGCTGTGTATTTCACATCAAATGCCCTTCACCTTTGCTTGCAACGATTTGTGTCATGATATTCAAAAATGACTCTATTATTGGTTTGCATTAAATGGGACCAAGTGCCTTATGCATTAATATTGCATATATGTGACCAGATTTTTATGACTGACTATTTCTATCAATGATAATTTACAATTCTGCAGGTGCCTGCTTGTAGGCAAGTGTTTACCACTATGCCACCATGTTTCCCATTCTAACCATAGTTTTAAAGCAGACAATAAACCGAATGTGACAATTTGACATTTGGCTAAAGTGGCTCCTGTGATTACAATTCTTGTATGTCATATTCAGCCTTAGCAGACAGCAGCACCATGAACTCTGAACTGTGTTATTTGATAGAGACAAGATTGACCAGCTGAAAAACACTAGCTACATGAAAATGTCATGTATTGTTTGAAAGGTTAGATGTTATTTGTGGCATACTCTTTAGTGGTAACAATGAATGTTTTATAAGCAGTATTATCGTAGAAACTACAGTGTGCTCCGGCTAACTCCTAAGTTATTTGAAAGACTCAGAATGGTTACAATTATATTAACATACATTCATAAGTAGACTTCTAGGGTTGACATTATAGAACCAAAAAAAGATTAATAAAAAATTTGAAAACGTTCTAATATTGATAATTTTTAAATATTGTCTTTAAAAAAATTAGCTTTTTATTGTGACAAGTATGTGCCAAATGATGGTTATGGATTGTTATACACTGTATCTCTACTGCTTACATCCATACGCACATGTGTGACACACACACACACACACACACACTCCACACAAAGGTATAGATTTCCATGACATTTTTCCTCCGTTTAAATTGCAAATAAACATCTAATAATACAAAACTAATTATATTTCAATTGTTACTTGTCTTCAGAATTCACTAACACATATATATATAAAATTGTAATAACTGTTTCTTAAATGTGTTTTTTTAACAGACTCGTGGGTGGAACTTTCTTGTGATGAACATGCTAAGGAAGGAGTTGAAGCAGGCAACATAAACCTGACAGTTACATGCACAGACAGCATGGAAAAACTGCTGTTTGATGCCCAGCGTGAATCGGCTACTCCTTCAAGACCAAACAGCAACGAATCCTCACACAGGGGCAGGTAAGCATTCATGCAGGAAAGTCGAGAATGGCGCAAGCTGAAGACACAATGCAGGCTTGATAAATTCGGGTGAGGAGAGCAGTGGGCCAAAGTGTCGAGAAAGAATCAGATTTGTGTAGGGTTCTAATCACTTTAGGTCTTGCGTACAAGGACTGGCCAGCTGGTGCTGCAGAATCAGAAGTTCAACAAATGATTCGTGAAGATTCCTGCCCAGGTGATGTGATTATCAAATAGATGGCTCTGTGTTGAGAGGCAGACGAAGTGCATGGGGGTTCATAGCAAAGGCAGATGGACATCACTTAGTGCAGTAAAGCCTAGTATGTGAAATCACAACGTCTAGTTTGAGAATAGAGGTGGAGGCAGACACTGCTGCCTACCCCTGGCTAAGAATCAGCTGTACACATGTGCCGTGATTGTCACTAACTCATAGAGTATGTTTAGAAAGGTGAAGACATGCATGCTCCATGCAGAGTGGCAAGCATCACTTTTGCGATCCCGGGTAGTTCTCCAGGTTTTCAAGGAAACAAGCAGGCAGATATACTGGCCAGGTCTGCACCACTTGGTGGTAAATTGATGTATGGCAAGCTAGATGCTGTGAGGGCCCTTTCAGAGTGAGTGAAAAGTGCAGAGGCACAAATAGATCACTATGGTCTAAAGAGAATGGCGCTGTGAGGAGTTACCAGGGAATCTGGCCGACGCTCAACACTCAAGGGAAATGAAATACAGATACATTCAGACAATTACTGGTGCCATCAGATTTATAACTCTTCGCTTGCTGCAGAAGATAAGGATGGAACACTTATGAGGGAGGCCCATGTGCTGTGATGTCAATTCTTAATTCAGTATTCAAAATAGATATATTGAGTACTTAAGTCATTTTTCTTAGCCCTTACCAGGTGTAAACTCTGGCAGAAAGTTGTGGTTGTTTGTCCCTTCTGGAATTCAGTCTCGTTCCAAAACTGAGTTTTGCATACACATCCGTTTTACAATCTATCTTATTTAAATGCAGACTGTTCCTTGCCTCCCAGGAAGATGCAATCTGACTTAGAAGGAAACTCGCCTATTTAATCGCCTTTTATGACATGCTTGTTATGGGAGCAGAAAGTGTATTTTTTTTGGCCCCAAAATTGGGCCCTCAGAAACCACACAGGAATTTAGGTCCTTTTGTATCAGGCAACTTACCATGTGTTTGTTGGTTTCAACTCTTATGACCTACTTTTATGAACAGTTTGAGGCTCACTTGTTATATTCACCGGCTCAACCACAGTTCTTATTCTAACTCCTCTAGTCTCACAATGCTATTGCTGTAACTACTCAGATCAACATGTTGATTACTTAAATTAATAAATTCTTGGAGCAGAACAAGTTGATGTAACACCTGCCTGATACCGAAAGAGTTAAGAGTATAAACTATATATATGTGAAGAACTGTTGCTGATTACTTCCTCTAGTATCTGTTGTGTTTGTAGCATTGCATCCACTCAAGGATCTTCTTGGCATTCACTGGATATAAACTCAAGCAGAAGTGGGTCTACTTCTGGACTTTGGTCTTGTTCCAGAACTTGGGTTTAGCATGCATATTTATTTTACAGACCTGGCTTATTTCTTTCTATGCAACTCACTTCTCAGGCAGATGCACTCTTGACTTCGAAGGAAACACCATTAATGGGTTGACTTTTACAGCATGCTTGTTGGGGAGGAGGAGGCTGGGTCTATTCCCCCCCCCCCCCATCCCCACTCCCCCTTTAAATCTGGGCTCCAGACCCCACTCATGAAGCTGAAAGAAATAACCACAATTCCTTTTTTTTTTTAAACACATTTTTTTTCTAAGACAATATATACTGTTCTGCATGTTAGCATATTTTCCATTTAAATGTTTTGCGGTCAATTATAAAAATTAAATCCTAAGATGTCACGTAAACTTGTTTCAAAATCAAAATTAAACTAATATTACAATCTGACTTGATGATTTTGCATTTTACTGTCAGCCCTAAAAGTCCTGCAAGCCCAAGCACAGAGTGGCCAAATGAAGAATGGCGTTCTAAACAGGTATTTGGCAAAAGGATATTTATTGTGTAAATGTATTTTGGCCTGTTTACATAACTAGAATGTTCTTGCAATGGGACTCACTCACAGGATCAGAGGAATAAAAGCAGACCCAAACAAAAACAGAGAGAGGAGAATTAGATGGTGGGAAGATGTGAAAGAGATTGGATGAGATAAAAGGGATGACAAAGGATAGGATGACTTGGAGTGAGTTTGTTGAGGGCCTTTTCTCCATTTGGGAATAAGGGCCAAGGGGAAAAGAAGAATAAAAGAATATAATTGTACACAAATAACGCTTATGTATATATTAATAGAACTGCTATTTATCTTAAGCATATTTTGTAAAATGTCTTGTTTTTCTTGCATATTTAAAGACTAATTTTGCCATTTATTCGTGTGTTAGGATCTTGATACAGACCTGGTATGGGATTGGTCAAGTCGTCCAGAAGTTCAACAGTCATTGTGAGTGGCCAAATTTAGATCTATAGCCAGATTTTATTTCTTAATTGCAGTAACTTATCAAAAATGAGGGCAAAACTATGTATGTAAAGTTTATTGCCTGGCTTATTTTGCTGTGACTCTTTAATGGCAGTCTTGTCTTGTCTTGTCTTGTCCACAATTGCCTCACAGCGTAGTGGGGTGTCGCAGTTTTCTATCCTGGGCCAGGTGTGTTGCACGTGTTGTTGTTAGTCCGTGTTGCCTCAGGATCTCTGATATATTGTCTATCCATCGTACTCTCGGTCTGCCTCTTGCTCTAGGGCAGTAGTGCTGTTCGTTGTTTTTGCTCGTAGAGGCAGTTGGTCGGTTTGCATTCGCATCAAGTGGCCAAACCACCTCTATTTGTTTGCTTCTTTATGTACTTGCAGGCATGGTGTGGTTCCTACAATTGATTCTAATGGTTCTCGTTCGAACTCTGTCTCTCCTTGTGACATTGGCAGCCTTACGTAAGCATCTCATTTTGCACCGTCGTGATCTTTTTCTCCTGTGGCTCTTGTTAGGGGACCAGGTTTGGCATTGGTACCAGAGGTGTTGGTATAAACATGCAATTTATCAGTTGTCGTTTTAGTGCTCATGTGATGCTTCGGTATTTTTAGCAGTGGGGAGAGTTTGGTAAGTTACTGCGTTCGCCTTTTGACATCTTGCCTCAAGTTCCCTATCAATTCTTCCATCATCTGTGAAGATGCTCCCCAAGTATTTAAATTGCTGCACTTGTTAATGGCAGTAAACATCATATTTTTATCTCTTCCAGTCCCAAGAGGTGTTACTTGAACTCTTTATGTCCCAAACATTGCTACCTCACAGTGACAGTTATTGAGTCTTAATGATCTAACCCTTTCACTGCTATGAACATATTTTGCTGTTTGCCCATAGACTGTTACAAACATCTTGGCCTCACTGCTCAATCAATCCTCATCATGCCCAGAGGCACGAGAGGCCGAGACAAACTGTCGCCACTCAATTAGATCTTGAGCCATCCTCTCTATCTCCAGTTTTGTCCTTCTTGTAGCCTTGAGTTCAGCCTCAAAAGTTTGCCTCCAAGTGCCTCTGCAGGTTCCTCGCTGTCCTTGTGGTGTCCATTGGATTGCCTGTCTCGGCCGTCTCTCTTTCTTCATTCTGAAGATGTGTCCAGTCCACCTCCATCTTCGTTTTTTTTTATTTCTAAATTCACATCTTTTAAGTCTGTAATTTGTTGTAATTTAGAATTAGTTAGTTAGTTAGTTAGTTAGTTGGGTTATCCTCATTGCACTCTGGACATGTCCATAGGTGATCAGATCCTCCCCTCAGTATGAACCCCAACGTCCGATGGCTAATAGTACCAGTTCTATGTTGATTAACAAGTCTTCTGGCGTAGCTGGTGTGCGTCTTGTTTTTTGCTGTGCCGATCTTAATTCCCAAGTCTGCCATTCTGGCGAGTGATGTGGATTCACTTCCACCAAAGTCCTCTATCCTTCCCATTTCTCTGAGGGCATTGATAATATCAGCATGATCCATAGGCTGACCGTCGGTAGTGATAGCGGATCCAGCCAACCTGTCCGCTCTTTCATTTCCATTGACGCCTGCGTCTCCCGGAACAAAAATAAAGAATTTAGAATTGCTGATTTTATCTTCTCATGTGAACACCAAAAATCTTTTGACAAGTCTTCCCTCAAAACCTCTGAGCATGCTCTCTATCTTTCTGTCTCTTTACCATGTTTCTGCTTAATAAAGGAGAACTGTCCTAATGCAAATGTTGTATATCCTGAGTTGAGTTTTAGCGCTGTAGATATTTGATCTCCAGACACTCTGAAGTATGTTGTAAGCAGCATTTGCCTTGGCAATTCTCTGCTTGATTTTAGCCACTACATTTCCATCCAAGAAGATATTGTTTCCCAGATAAGGGAAGTCAGTTACTGTTTCCAAACCAACATTATCTGTTACTATAGGTCTTTCACTTTTCAGGTTTATCTCTAGCAGTTTTGTTTTGTTAACATTGATTCTTAACCCTGTCTGTTTTGCTATTTATGTGATCTTATCTGTCTTTTGTTGCAGTTGTTCTTTACTTTGGCTGATAACACAGATATCATCTGCAAAGTCCAGCTGTTCCAGGTTTTACTGAAGGCCAAGCCTTGAGCCTGTGGTGGCTTTCTTCATATCATAATCTGTCACCTGAGAAACAAGAAAGGTGACAGAATGCATCCTTGCCGGACTCTTGATGTTTCCCTGAAGTATTCTGTTTCCATGAGCCCTACTTTCACTCTGCATTTGGTATCCTTCATAGAGTACTTTAAATATGTTTATAACCTTATCTGGTAACCCATACGCAGAAAGGATACTCCACATCATTGTTCTGTCTAGACTGTCAAAAGCCTTTTCAAAGTCTATAAAGTTTATATATAACGTGGCATTTGAGTCTAAAGCTTGTTCCACAATATTTATGAGAGTGAAAATATGATCACAGCAGTTTCTTCCTTTTCTGAATCCTGCCCGATCTTCCGACAAAACTCTTGTCTAAGGATGTCTTCATTTTGTTGTATATCACACTACAGAGTGCCTTTCCGGGTACAGACAATAATGTTATACCTCTCCAGTTGTTGCAGTGTGAGAGATCACCTTTCTTCGGTAGTGGGAGGATTACACCATTTTTCCAGTCTGTTGGGACCACTTTATTTATCCATAATTTGTTGAATATTTCATGTAATGCTTTTGCTTTAAATTGTGGGTCTGCCTTTAGCATGTCAGTACTGATTCGGTCTTCACCTAATGCCTTCCCATTTCTTCACACTGTTCATTGCTATTTCTTTAATGCTGATTGGCCCAATATCTATTTCTAGGAGTTGCTAAAAGTTTTCTACTGTTTCCACTGGGATATCTGATGCTGGCCCATTTAGCAACTATGTGAAATATTCTTGCCATCTATCAACCTTTCCGTTGTGATTATATCTCCTGTTGTGTCTCTCAGGTTTTCTTCATTAAAGCTAAAATGTTTCCGGCTCAGATCCTTTGTTATTTTATACAATGCTTCTTTCGCTTTGGCAGCTTTGAGTTCCAATCATTCCTTTTTGTCTTTCTTTAAGCTTTTCTTTACTTCTTTTTGTTTTGTGTTTTATGCTTTCTGTGCGGCCATCTTTTCCAATTTGCTCTTTGCAAGGTTTATTTGCTCTTTTTAGATACCATTCCTCTCTCACATGTTTCTTCATACCGAGTATTTTCTGTGCTGCATTGTAATACACATCTTTAGACTGTGCCCATTCGTTTTCAGTATTTGCTGTCTCTGGTAGGTGGTTAAACACCTTAAACTAGTTTCTTAGTTTGACGCAAAAATCTTCTCTGACTTCTAATGTCCTGAGCTGGGCTGAATCAAATAATGGGCTTACAATCTTTTTTTCTTGCTTCTTCCTAATTTAAGCTTCAATCTACAAATCATTATGTCGTCAGGTTTCCTTCTAGCAAATACATCTTGTATCGAGATTCTCCGCTTTTTATTCTAAGGCCCTCACTGCTAGGGCCTTAAAAACATGTTTTCATGACATTCTAAGGACCGTATTCTTGGGGTCAAAGGGAAATACACATTAGCCATATTTGGAACCAGTTGAGCCATTTACAAATGATTAAACACATTGCCCGATTAAGTTAGATGCGTTCCACATTATTTAGTTGCATTGTTAACCATGGAAGCATGGTCGCTGAAGTGTATTTTTTGCCTTTTGCATTAGTCTAAACTTTATTTATACAAAATGTTTAATGTTGAATTAAGAATCGACATCACAGCACTTGGGATACCCACATAAGCATTCCGTCCCCATCTTCAGCAGCAAGCGAAGAGTTAAAATTCCGATGGTACCAGTTACTGTCTGATTTTATATCCGTCTTGCCTTTCCCCTGAGTGTCGAGCGTCGGCCAGATTCCCTTGTAAGTCCTCACAGCGTCATTCTCCTCAGACCATAATGATCTATCTGTGCCTCGGCACTGTTCACTCGCTCCCAAAGGGCCCTCGCAACATCCAGCTTGTCATACATCAGTTCACCACCAAGTGGTGCAGAACCGGCCAGTCTGTCTGCCTGCTCCTTTCCCAACACACTGGCATGACCTGGAGAAAATATTCAAAGGATGCTAACTACCTGGGGGGACCTTTAAAGTGATGCTTGCCACTCTGCACGTAGCATGCCTGTCTCCACCTTTCTCAACATGCGCTGTGAGTCAGGTACAATGACGGCATGTGTGTACAGCATTTATACAAAATGGCAAAAAAACTGGTAAAAGTTATCTTCACTGCACTTTGGTGTTAGGTGTTTACCATTATCATAGGAATTGGTTGTGACTTTTGTTTGTAGTCTCAGATTTGTGGTATCTTATCCTTAGCAGGCTTCATCACAGTGGCGACCATGGGTAGTTGAGAAGACATCACTTAATCCAAATGTGATTATTCATTTCTCTGACATTTGAAAGATGATTTATCTTACTACCTTTCATTGGCTGGGAAGCTCTTGTTTTATGAAGTCACATTGGCAGTCTTTTTGAGCCAGTGGTCAAACCTTCTTAGTGACCTTTTTTGACATGCTTGCTAATGTACAACATTACTGTTCTGTCTTTCCCTGGTAGGCCTCAGTAACCTGCAGGCAAAGTGTGAGGGTGATTGTCAAACAAACCCAGAGCATAAATATCAAAACCAAGGCAAACACTACTGAATTTATATGGAAGTATCCCTTTTTGTACCAGATAAATACATGAGCTGCTCAATTTGAAACTGAAATAAGATTAAGTAGAAAAGATGTTCTATGAAAATCAAACATTGTCAACATCCATTTACATCAATCTTGAATAACAAAAACAATTATTCGTAGTTTATTTCCAGCCCACCCTACTAATTAGGAATTGACTCACAGAACTCTGGATATTCCCATAAGCGTTCCATCCCCATATTTAGCAGCAAGTACAGATTTCCAGTCCAGTAGCAGTCTGAATATCCGTCTCACCTTTCGCTTAAGTGCTGATTGTCGACCATATCCTCTGGTCACTCCTTGCAGTACCATTCTCTTCAGACCATGATGTTCCATCTGTGCTTCTGCACTGTTCACTCGCCCTAAAAGGGCCCTTACAACATCTAGCTTGTCATGCATCAATTCACTACCAGGTCTATCTGCCTGTTCATTTCCTAATATATAATAAATATCCCAAAGATGCTAACTACCTAAGACCTCTGAAGCGATGCTTGCCACTCTTCACAGAGCATACCGGTCTCTACCTTTGTCAACATGCTGTGTGAGTCAGTTACAATTACAACATGTGTAAACAGCTGATTCTCAAGCCAATGAAAGGCTGCAAGTACTGCCTCCATCTCCATTCACAGACTAAATTTTGTGGTGTCATAAGCCGGGCTTTGTCGTACTAAGAAACATCCATTTACTTTTGCTAAGAAACTAAAATATTGAGCTTTGTCTGTCTTTCAACACCAAGCCATCTGTATAGATTATCGTATCACCTACTAGACAGCCATGAAACAGAGAATCTGAACACATGCACAATTTAAAGAACGTCATAGCTTTTGAGATGTGGTGGTAATAGCAGGATGTTAAGAACAAGAGGGAAAAGACACTAGATAACAACTAACATCAAATCAACAAAAGAGAAATGATTACAAATAATTAAGTGCAAATAATAATTTGTTAAAAGACAGAGAAATGGCAAGAAGCAGTCAGTTTAACCTAAAATATGCTAAGGCTAAACTTGTGTTTATTATTTTCAGGTTGATAGTAAAAAACTTTTGGTGTTTTTGTTGTTGTTACATTATTGCTGGTGTTATTGTTATTATTATTATTATTTCTTGCAGTGACAAGTTGAGAGAAAAATTTCGACACTCTGGCAGCAAGCTAAGCAACATCCCTGTTTGTTCACGAAATGCTCCAGTCACAAAGAAAACACAGCTGTTCTCGTGGGCTAACCTGCCTAATTTGTTCCTCACACATGCTTGTACATTCTTTCTGGGTGCAGCAGTGTAAGAAATTTATTTTCATATTTGCTTTTGTTTTTATAGTTTTCACACCTGTTAGAACAGAGACAGTTTTGCTTGTATACCGCTTCTTTTCTTCTACCCTTTATCACCTTGGGGAGCAAAAGCCCTTCCTTGCGTAACAGATATCAGGTCATCCTTTCTTTTTGCCGTCACACACAGCAGACTACATGACCTCCCTACCGTATTCACTTTTGCATCTCTCTTCTTCATGAGCTTTTTTTTTTTTTTTTTTTTTTTTCCTGAATTTCTTAGGCTTTGTGGGTTCCAAAGCAAGAACATTTTAGTTATATTATTCTCCAGTTTTTCACTGTAATCTTCTCATCACCTCTGGATTCAAAAAAAGCATGCTGGTTGGAATACAATTCTGTTTGTGCTCTTCTTTTTCTAAGTAAGTTCTGGTTATTCATCCATTTCTGGACTTTGATCTTGTTTCAGAATTTGAATTTTGCATGCACATCCATTTTCAATATCTAACTTATTACATAATAAAGACTTGGTTCCTCACATCTCACACAGATGCACTCAGATTTTGTAGGAAACCCTACTTAGTTGCCTTGTGTGACATGCTTGTTAGAGAGGTAGTGGATCAGTTTGTTTTTTTCCTCCCTCAGAACCCAAATGAGGATCTGTTAGTACTAAAATAGATCTAGTCCCACAGAAGGTGCTACCATTGGTATTTGAATGGGTACATATCACAAACATCACCGCATCTCATCGGGTGAGATTTCATTTCGGCTCCCATTCATGCCGTGGCCATTCCTAGTGTCATTTTGTATTATTTTTAATGCTGTAAGTATTCTATATTTCACATTATGAGTGGCCAGCGCATTCTATATTCTACATTGTGGGCAGCCGGCACTGTGTGTGTTATAGTGTTGAGCATTGGCTCCTTATTGCTGTCATTGCAGCCTTACTTGTTGACTTGAACAGGAAAAAAAAGTCGCTAAATTTTGCCTGCCATAAAACAGAACTGCACACTTTTGTGTCAGACCTGGAACAAATAAAAACCTATTTTCTGCACCGTGTGTATAGACATCGAAGGGGAAGAAACACATGCTGTCACGCTTAGAACATAGGACAGCTTGTGGGAATGGTTACGGCATGAATGAGAGCCAACATGAAATCTCGTGCCCGCTGTTGTGATTTCTGTGATACGCACTTTGAAATGATATACTTTGACATAGTCTAGGCCAAAACATATGAGGTGTGAGTAGCCAGTTCTCTTCCTCCTTCCTTCCTAGGACATTCTGGAAACTGTTTGGTTCTCATTTCATGAGGCTAGGTCGACTTCAGAGCAGTACTGATGAAAAAACTTCATAACCCAGATGGTTTGAACAGGATATTGTTGTTCAGATAACTTCTGCTGCTTTAGTTAAAACAGATTGTTCAGGGTTCAAAAAAATTATTAGGGTTCTTAGGCCGACTATTGGTTACCAGAATGTGTTCTGGACAATAAAGGTGGTTGGTGCAGTATTGACCACATTGCTTATCAGGTGCTGATTGATCTCTATGGGATTAGTAGTATGTACCTAGGGCACTTCAGTGTGTGGGAAAATTGTACTTTGCTTTAAAAGACCAGCTATTAGAAAAACTTTAGACAAAGAAGATACACACTGTAGATTTCACTATTTATTGCCTGGTATATTTTGCTTTGTTTTCTTCCTTTGAGTACTTGCCATTGTTACAGAACACATGCTCTGCAAGAAATACTGTCATCTCATTTGATAACAGGATTATTCTTCAGTGGAAAAAAAAAAATCACTTTACAGCTAGCATTGAATAACCTAGCATTTACATATTTTCAACATTTAGAACTATACAACTCTCAGGATGTGGCATGCAGTTATTTAAGAACTGAATGTGAGTGGAGGGACAGGGAATGCCCTATTATATATATATATATAGAGAGAGAGAGAGAGAAAGAAATTGTTGTAGCTTTTTGCTTTGTTTTAGCTAATTTTTTTGTCTTCTTCTTTTCTCTATTCCTGGAATGCCTCACAGTATTCAGTATTGCTTGTTAAACTCAGAGAACCACTTTCATCTCATTTGATGTATATTATTTATTAAACATGTTTGAATTTTTAAAATATGATTTCATTTTTCAGTGTCTTCATATACTTGAGAAAGTACTATGGCTTAAATGGTATAGTTCAGGTAGCTTTGGACTGAGACCAAGGCTGGAGACAGAGGTTTGAGAAAACACAGTGGGCAGATTTTGTATGTGGAGATGCCAAAGAAGTAAATAATTGTACTCTCTTCATGTGATTTACAAGCTGGTATTTGTTCGCAGTGGTAATGTTATTTTTTTTGTGTTTTCACCTCTTTCTGTTTCATGTTTCACAGCAGATAAGCAAGAAATAAAATAACAACCATATAGTATTATCAATTTGTTACTTTCAAATAGACTAAATATATAGAAACTAGAGCCATGGTTACACAATGACTATACACTTGCCTGTTAATCCAAAAGTCTTGAGTTCCAGTCTGCACATTTTTGTAATTGACCTTGCCTGCCAAGTTGACCCTGCCTAAAAAGGATACCAAGAAAGTGTTATGGGAAGTACAGGTTGATGGCATGTTAAAAGCAACACACATCAAGTGTAGATGGATCTGTGGATGTGTATCCACCATGTACACAATGTGTCACTAATGTAAAAAAAATTTTTTATAAATAAATACATAATAATTTGGCAGCTGGGATAGTCAGGTTTTTAACAGTGTTCTGACTAAATGTGAAAAAGTTACAAGAACATGAGCATAAAATCACATCACATATATTTTGGGACTGAAGGAGTTAATACTTGTAGTATGATGCTAATATAAATATGTAACTATTAATTATATAGTGTTTTACTGTAATCAGAATATTAGACTTCTATTAAGGAAACTTGGTCACATTGAAACCATTTTATTAGCACATTATGTAGAGTTAATGTATGTTTGTAAATTGAACGGACGTGGACCGCATCACTTGAGTGCCAATTGGATTCATGTGCTTAACTTGTGAAAATACTTCTATAATAGAAACAGTAGTCATTAAAAAGATTAATGTAATAGATGGGTCGTGTGTTAAAGTGTTCTTCAGAATTTCAGTCTTCTCGTCTAGGTTCCTGAGCCCCATTTTGGAGAAGAGGGAAAAAAAAGAATAGACCCTAACAAGCATGTCATGAAGGTAACTAATAAGGGGTGTTTCCTTTCATCGGAGTGCGTCTGCTTGAGATATGGGGAACCAGCCGCCTGCTCACAGATATGCCAGATCCGTAAAATGGCTGTGTGTGCAAAACTCAAGTTCTGAAACAGACTCAAGTCCAAAAGTGAATGAAGAACCAGTACTTTCCCCAGAGCTTACCGCCAGTGAATACAAAGTAGGAGTAGAATTTTTTCACTCATGTTGTAAACACCATTTCAATGATCAAAGTGAAATTATCAACAAAGAGAAAAAGCAGGGTTTGCAATCATTCAGAAGTTTTATTGAGGTAAGAATTTGTACCAGCACCATTACAATTAATTATCTACATGGACAATAACATTACTGGCTAATTCAACCTTTTCGCCCCATGAATGCTAATAAACAAAATGAGTTGTCAACTCTTTGAAATTCTAGGGGAAAAAATTGTTTAAAATACTATTTTACACAGGTAACTAACAAATTGCTTTTAAATGTGTTTATCTACATTTTCTTACAGTTTGTATTTTGAAATATGTTACAATACATATAGGGAGTAATCAGTAAACTAGAACATGGTAAAGCATTAAATAGAATCATACCCCGGTACCTAAATAATGTGTACCAGTCTCATGCTGTGACCCCTTGACCTCTGTTGCTAAGGGTACCTGGACAATTTTAAGTCAGGCTAGCTTTAAAAAGGCTATTAGATTGACAAAGAAATTGTTTTAATTTGTGAAAATTTTCCTAAACACATAGAACGAATGTCATTTAACTACACTTTTCAAGGGCAGGTCATCTTCCCCCTCCACAAGTCAAGCATTGAGGTAAACGATTGTCAAAACTGCAATGTTCATATTAGAGTAGTTAAGCCGTTTGCCTTATGTTATTTTAGCCCTCGTTTGTGAATGCTGTTTTTTCCTGGGGGTGACAGCTTGAACTACAAATTTGTGTGTGCTTTGTGTGATGCACTTGGCAGTCAAACAGCCATCTTGCTGAGAGAGAGGCAAGGCCATATGGGATAGTACCCAGTGTAATGATAGCCTCACACGTCCATATAACATAGCTGGAATCATTATTGGAGCGTGCACTTTAAACTAGTCTGATTTGTGAGTGTTGAAAACTATGTTAAGGGTAACTGTTTTTCAAAACCAGCCCCAAAGTCAGTTATAGCTGTTAGTATTAATGTAGAGATCTAACCAGCTGAAAATATGAAATGTTTATTTTGAGACTCTTTCTGAATTAATTTAGCTAGACTAAATGAAACTATCAGTACCATCAGAAATGGAATTCTCTATTCTGGCTGCTGAAGACTGGAATAAAGTGCTTATGAAAATGTTCTGAATACTGTTATTTCAGTTCTTAACTAAACTGAGCTCAACCAAAAAAAAAAAAAAACCACTTACTGGTATGACCAGTCTGATGTTACAGACACTTGCTACCTTCACTTATTCTATTAGAATTGTTTTGTTTAGTTACTACTGTCTCATGTTTTTCATATTTTACCTCTCTTAAACAAAATAACCCTTTCATTCTGATGAACTAGCAAAACAAATGCCAAAACCAATAATATTTTTACATTTTGATTTCCTTGAAATAATATTTCTTTTGAAAAGCAACCATTTTACAAAGTTCACAAAAATATTCCTAACAATTTCATGTTCAGACGAAAACAAAAATGAAACACTCATTAAAGAGAACAATCAGTAAAATTAATCAACTAGGTAACATTATCCTGAGGTAATGCGATGGAAGATTGTGGACAGACATGGAACACCGTATAGCATGTACTTTAAGGATATCAATTTGACAGTTAGAATTACAAAACAATTTTCTACAGTTATGCAATTTGGATTAACAATTTGTCATTAAATGTTTCAGTATTGTTTTTTTTTTATTTTGCTCGCTGTTAATGCAATTTGATCATGTACATTTTTTAACGTTAACAGTGTTGCTAAATGTGATGCTAATAAAGCATAAGAAATGTGTGTATCTTGTTCTTTTTATTGCCTTTTATATCACTTGATATTCTGAACCCTATTTTTCCTTATACCGAGTACCAGAGCTCCTTTCTCTACAGTGGAAATGAAGTTTGAACAACGGACCAACATCATGGCACATGGGTAGTAACCTATGAGTGCTCCGTTCTTCTTCTAACTCAAGTCTGAGTCCAAAGAAGCTCAGCACAGTGCACAGGCTCTGTAGCACCGGCGAGGATCTTGAAATACTTTGGGTAGATTTTTAACTCCAAATTTTGCCTGGGCAGTGCCGTTAGGCTACTCTTTTTGATTTGTAACTGCCATGGGATTTTTAATGTGCACACAATTCAAACGTCCTATCTTAATACCCAGAGACCAGGGGGAATTATTAGAAGTCCAAGTCCATGTGAAAATATACCAGCTCTTACCGGGGATTGAAACCTGAACCTCCAGCACTCGAAGCAGACACCATGCCTCGAGACCACACAGCCCCTCTCTAAGTGGAAATTAGGTTCTGAAATGCCTATCAAATAAATCAGACCATAAAATTTAGACTGTGTGCTGGACACAAAAGACTCTACCGGAAATTCAAGACTGAGGAGTCAGAACTTTGCCCATATGACAGGCACCACAGACTGCCGAACATGTGCCACAGACGTACTCTCCACATGCAGCAGAGAGATTCCAGGTTTGGCCAGTTGGCATTTCAGTGGAAACCAAGCTGTCTGGAACAGTCAAAGACAGGAGTCACACTTCAGACTTCATAGAAAGTAAGCTGACCACATCGCCCACCTAGTGCTGGTTGGTCTATGAAAATATAGGTTTAGGCCTGTATGCCAACTACGATAAAAGGCGTGGAAAAGGATCCCTTTCTTTACTATATACTCACTACGCCTAGCGTGGAGAAGAGTCAGGTCCCCCCCCCCCCCCTCCCACTTTTTTTTTCCTTTTTCTTTTTACGCTTTAAAAAGGGCGCGCAGAAGAATTTTACATCTCCAAACCTCCACACCCTACTTCTATGAGGTCCCTGCAGAAAAAGTGTTTTCTCGTAACGTGTATGGGGTGTGGCTTTGTAATGATTCCCAAAAGGCCATCTTTAATTTCGAAAACGGTCTTGATTCACAACACTTGACTATGTCCCATTAGTCTACCTCATTCTAGCGGGACCAATGTGACTACAAATCACGAGATTAAAAGCAGGGCTGTCGAAGCTGGTACTTTCGTGCAAATTGGTACAATTGGACCCTTGCCGTGCAAAGCTGTAATACAGGTGCCATGTCCGATATTTCGGTACGTTTTACGTCTCCTTTAGGTTGGCTTTTAAAGCTGGAGACGGCCGTGGTTTTTGAAATTTGCCATGATTTTTTTTAAATTTTGGCTTTCTGTTGGGCCTTAACTCTTTGAATGCCAAACAACTCGCCGAACGTTTCTTGATCAATCTCAATACAGCATACTGTTCTTACATTCTTCTTTAACATTTAATAACTACAGTGGTTCAATATATCCAAATTTTCAGTGTAACCCCTTCTGTATTATAACGTCTCTTGTACACACACACACATCGTGATTGTAACTGACTCAGAAAGCATGCCGAGGAAGATCTGGACAGGCATGCTTCGTGCAGAGGGGCATGCTTCGCAGCGGAGGACACAGTTGAGGAGTATTGTCTGGATTTTTTCACCGGGATACGCCGGTGTGTTGGGAAAGGAACAGGTGGGCAGACTGGCTGGCTCTGCACAACTTGGTGGAATACTGATCATGATAAGGCAGACGTGGTTATTGCAGTGAGGGAAAGCGTATACAGTTCGGAGAAGCAGATGGATCATCACAGTCTGGTGAGACTGAAGCAGGGGGAAGTGACGCGAAGTTCTGGCAGATGCTCGAGGCTCAGAGGAAAGGCAAGACGGACGTTTCAGCAGAATGCTACTGGCACTATTAGTATCGGAACTCTTCGCTGGCAGCTGAAGATGGGGACGGAGCGCTTGTGGGAATGCCCCGGATGCTGTGATGTCGGTACTTGAATC